AGGGTGCCACGACCCCTATTTGAAGCTGATTTGTTAAATTAATAACAAACAACGCGCTGGAACGGAGGAGATAGAGCGTCTTGGCGTCAGAATTTGACGTGGTAGAAAAGAAAAGAAAATAACGAATGCTCAATACATACAGTATGCCAAGACCGTTATACTCCGCACTTGGCGAGGCCTTATGACGCAGCCGACGACCGTTAGGCTATTTATTTTGTTTCTTTTGATTTTTTATCGTGACGACTACTCCAATGTGCCTCGGAGTCTCCAACGGAGATCCGGCATGCAGGTTTTAGTAATTATTATTGTCGTTTGAAGGGCACTCTTTCTATGCTGCTTCGTTCCTGACGCCATAAAAATATTCTTTCTGTTTAGATTATAGGCGCGAAAAATCCACACTGACTGGGGCCTGAGTAACAACTCTGCATTACTCAGGCTCTAGTCCGTGTGGATTTTTCCCGCCTACAATCTAAAAAGAAAGAATGGCATACACACACACCAGACGCGCACGCACTCAAAGTTGGTCCAGAAGCCCAGTGTCCCCGACGTGTTTTTGTATCGCTTTCAAAACGATACACTGATACCGCCAAGTGTTCCCCGCCCAGGAATTTGGTGACATTAAATAGTCTACTTTTTTGTATCCCTTACTCCCTCCCTGTCTTGCGGCGCATTCAGCCGTCATTCAGCGGGAGGCTGATATCGCAAGTAAGACAATAACTGATTGGTCGAGCCTTTGTCGGGAGGTTGTGGTAAATGCCGTCTTTAAGCATTCAGACATGATTGGTGGCGACGGCGTGACTGTAGAACCAGACGAGAGTATGTTCGGTCGGCACAAGTACCATCGCGGGTATTTAAGGCCTGGCCAGTGGGTTTTCGGCGGTGTGGCGCGTTGCAGCGGGTGCTGCTTTCTTGTTCCCGTGGAGACCCGTGACGCTAAAACCCTGCAAGGGCTAATAGCCGAGTGGGTCCACCCTGAAACAAGAATAATCACGGATTGTTGGGCTGGCTATCGCAAGCTTGCAGATGACGCTCGCTTCACGCACCTCACCGTCAACCATAAGCTTAACTTTGTCGACGCGAACACTGGTGCGCACACCAATACGGTGGATTGCACCTGGGCCCACGTCAAAAACTCTCTTCCATCTGAACGGCGCGAGAGCCACCATTTCACTGGTCACCTTGCAAAGTTCATGTTTTGGAGGAGAGACAAGGCGCGCGGAAACACTGATAGATTCCAGTCGTTCGTCGCCGCGGCCGCGAAAATCTAGAGCCCCGACACAGACAGCGCGAGGATTCTGACGGCCCCGGTGACTTCGAGGGATCCGCTGCGCTGAGCCCGTCACCCGCCTGCATGCATAAAGACGACTTATGCGCCAACCGCTCATCAAGTGCTCGTTACGTCAGTTATAGGTTCTGGTAGCGGTCTAAACGGTCCTTTTCAGGGCCCCCATACTTTGCAAACGGAGCTGTGTTTTGAATGCGGGGCAGTTTGATACTTTAGACCCATGTTCCGGATAAAAAAAAACAGGACGCGGGATGGCCAAAAAAACAGGCTTTTCGTGCAAGGCTCGTCAAATTATGAGGCGCTGGAGAAATGCAGCCTTCTGCGTTAAGTCCTTATTTCGAACTCTTTTTGTTCGCCTTCCGCCCATTGAATGGCATGCGGGAAGGGCCTTAGAACGCACCTGGTATCGCTGCGCCGCAGCGTTCTTTCGCATCAAAACGTTCGTCTGCTTTCCTCGCCGTCACCATGGCAACGAACACCGAATGAATAGAAGCACGCACGGTACCGCCGCGTGAAGCTAGCAACAGTTGATGCCATTTTACGAACGCCTTTTCGTGCAAGGCTCGTCAAATTATGAGGCGCTGGAGAAATGCAGCATTCGAACTCTTTTTGTTCGCCTTCCGCCCATTGAAAAGCATGCGGGTAGGGCCTTAGTCGAACGCGCCTGGTATCGCTGCGCCGCAGCGTTCTTCCGCAACATAAAGTTCGTCTGCTTTCCTCGCTGTCACGATGGCAACGAACGCCGAATGAATAGAAGCACGCACGGTACCGCCGCGTGAAGCCAGCAACAGCTGACGCCATTTTACGAATGCCGTCAGCTAGCCAAAGCCGAACGCGGTGTGTCAGATCAACCGCCTCCGCCGGTGTGCCGCTAGCGCGGTTATACACCAACTCATGCTTACAAACAAACCGGAGCGCCCGGAGCGCCCCTAGCGGACGCCACCGGCGCCGCGCATGCGCGATGGGGGTGTGGGCAAAAAGCTCGCCGTCGCCCATAAACAAACCATTGAAATGCGATGTTGTCGGCGCCGGTGCGAGTCCCCGCGCTCTTTTTCGCGTTGGAACTGGTGATTCTACGTCCTCCTAACGATGTGTGACTACTTGAGCAGCGTCAGCAAAATTAGCGAGGCTCGTTACACCGCAAAAACTTCGCGTGAATAATCTGACATGCGGCGATTCATTCCGCGTGGACGCCGCAGAACGTACGCTAAAGCCTGATTCGCATGATGAGATTTCGCTCAGAATTCTCAGTCGCGACTCCGCTCGTGCTGCAAAAGCGTGAACCGTAGCTGAGTTGGTCGACGACGATACTGAAAATCGCAAGCAGAATCGGACCAACTGAATTAGGCATAACAACAAGTCGGTGTTGGTCACTGGTAACAATGACCAACATCTCCTTGTATTTACTGTTTACATCCAGCCTGCTTACCAACCTTCAAATGTATGTCTTTTGAGGCCTGCACTCATTTCTCATCGCAACTACCGGGCCAACATTTGGTCTACGGACCGGCGTCGTCTAAGAGAGCAGACGACAAGCAGAAACGTTTGAAAGAGCAGACGACAGTTCGAACAATCAAGCGGCCGTTTGAACTTGAAGACGCACTGAACGTAGTCCGCAGGTGGTCCGCACAACTTGATGGTTTTCTGTCGTTCATGTTGGAACAAAACAAATAAATCTGATGACCACAAGTATCCGTGAATTCAACCCAAAGTGCTTCCCGCCCACGCTATCGTTGTCCGACGGCGTCTGCTTTTCCCTTTTCACAGCACATGTTCAGATTCTCGGACGAACCGAGCACGTGAAAACTGACCTTCAAACCTTTCTCGACTCTTCTGGTACGGTCCCAGTCCCGGCGTTTTGACGAGAAGGCAGTTTTTTGTCTGGTTCCCTTCAAAACAACGCAGGAATACACGTCTGGCATGGGGACTTCTGCCCACAGCCCCAGACCGGAAGTGCGACCGACGCGCCACCACCGCGCCGTGACGTCACAGAGATGAGTTGGTGTATAGGCTTTTAAAGGATTATCATCGTCGAAGGTCGCGGCGAGCGATCGACACAAAAGACGGTTCGCCACGGGGATGATGGCGAGTGCACCAGCGGGGAGGGACAGGTTTTGTTCACCTTGTACTTTGCGATTACGCACCGGAGTAGCACTTTTTCGGGGCAAGGTAACGCGTTTTTGGGCACTTGTGCATGAATAAACAATTTAAAAAATACAAGCTGCCAATTCTTTCAACGCTGAAATCGTTGCACGAGTGGTAACTAAAATAAGAACCCTAAAATAAAACAGATATCACCGCCAACTGGCGGGTTATATTTAACAATTGATCACACTACGAATTTCACGAGTATTGTACAACTGGGTGTCAAAGCATTGGTCGTCGAATAAAATACTATTCTCGTAAAATTTACCACGTAATGGGCTAAACAATAACGAGTTTTAGTACGGTACGCGGAAGACGTCTCCAACTGGTGTGTTCACAGCGCTGAAAAAATTGGTCCCTCGATTTCAGCCTTATGACGTCATAGGAGTGTCACGCTGTCGCCGGCCGCGATCCTGGCGGTGTAACAGCCGCGCTAGTGGATGTGGCCGACGCCTGTTCTGCTGCAGATCTCTTTTCAGCTTGGCAGTCCAGGGAAGCTTCTG